ACTCCGACCAGACAAAATGAATAGCTTTTTGGTAGAGCTCGGCCATCCAGCGAAATCGCATGAGTCGAGGTACAGTTCTGTGTTTTGTAAGCACTACAATGGACCAGATTGTTGCGATCCTACGCAATAATAGCCTCCAGGTCTGTCGTCAGAGATCATTTCACAGCTAGTCTTCTTTTCTCCAGCTCACCAGCAGAGATCGGCTTAAATTCTGGCATGTCGAGGGCTGCCATCGGCAAATCTGCGGATCGGGTTGATCGTACAGGGTCACGACCGATCCCTGGGAAACACCCGCGTTGCCATTGTGGGATGAAGAATAGAACCCGTCAATTACGACGGATATCTTGCGGCCATAGAGGGGGCCAGCGACCCATTTGCAAAGATTCTCTATATCATAGAAGTTCACCCGAAAATTTAGCGTAATTTTTAGGAAGTCGTGTTACTGTGTATGTATGTACCTATACGCCGGGCTGTAGACAATAGACGTCTCACTAGCATTCCTGTCTAGCACATGGAGCCGCCCATCAGCAAGGTTTCTGTGCGGCCATATAACGGAAGCTTTTATTAGAGAGCATCATGTTATAGCTGACTGAACGCTTTAGTGATATCAAGAGTAACGATATCATACATTTGGAAGATTTTACTCCCCAGTTCCGTGACGTAAACTAGGAGATCTTCCGTGGATCGCTGGTGTTGAAATCCATTAAGGTACTCCAGAAGCTCCCAATATATGCACTCCTATCTTATAATTGAAATTAGACCTTTGGGCCTGTAGTTGTGAAAGTCGATCTTAAATCATTTTTTTTGGGAGGGGGATGGAGATGGGCTGAACCAGAACAAATTTCCAGCTTTCTGAGAAAGTGCCAGATTCGTAAGATATCTGGAGGAGACGCAAAAGAACTGGAGAAAGCACCGCTGTTGAAGTCAAGCAAGGTTACTTTCGCATAGTCCATGGTAGAGGTGGCAGCAAATATACTAAGTGACATATAAATCCGAACACCCAGTTTAAATGCTTTTATTTTAATAAAAGTTTGTGAATGTATTTATCTTACTGTAAATAACAAGTGAAAAAATTTTCAGCCTTATCAGTTGGACATTCCGGTTTTTGTACTGCTTTTTTTTAATTCACTAACGCTCTAAAAATGAATATTTCAGCCGCAGTAAAGAATCAACGTTGGCGGATTTTGGTTCTTGACATCCTTTACGATCGGTTACGATGCCTAGAGTACGGAGACCTGTACGATTTCGTCAACTTAGTGAGTTTGATAGGGGCCGTATAGTGGGACTTCGGGAAGCTGGACTTTCTTTTCGGGCAATTGCAGTTAGAGTGCAAAGAAGTGTAGACACTGTGGTTAGGTGTTGTCAGGCATGGCTTCGAGAAGGCCGTACGCAAAGAGCAAGGGGCACTGGACGCCGCCGTAGAACAACAGACCGTGAAGATCGCCGCCTAAGATTATTGGCCTTAAGGGACCGTTTCTCCACTACCAGGTCCATTGCAAATGAATGGTTTGCAGAACACGGAAGACCTATTGGCATGCGAAGTGTTTACCGACGAATGAGAAGTTTTGGCTTGTTTTCGTACCGGCCACACTGGGTCCTCCCTTTAACTCGAGAACAACGACGTAATCGCCTTGAGTGGTGCAGACAACGGTCACTCTGGGATCAGGAATGGAACAGTATTGTCTTTAGTGACGAGTCTCGATTTTGTTTAGGCATGCACGATGGTCGTGCCAGGGTTAGAAGGCGACGTGGTGAAAGGAGGAATCCACAGTTTTTTGTTGAAAGACATATTCATCACACTGTTGGAGTTATGGTTTGGGGTGCTATAGCTTATGGTTCCAGGTCACTTTTAATCTTCATCAGAGGTAACATGAACGCGCAGCATTATATCCACGAAGTTCTAGAACCCCATCTTTTACCCTATCTTCACACCCTGGCAGATCCAACTTTCCAACAAGATAATGCCTGACCACATGTTGCAAGAGTCACAATAGACTTCTTTCAACATAATGATGTCACATTGTTACCATGGCCACCAAGATCTCCCGACTTATCCCCAATTGAGCACGTGTGGGATATGATGGGTAGGAGATTGCTCAATTTGCAACGTCCTCCTCAGACTCTAGAAGCACTTCGAGAGAAGTTGGTGGTTGCCTGGAATGACATACCACAGGAGGACATTGACCACCTGATCAGAAGCATGCCTAGGCGCGTTGGAGAATGCGTAGCACATCAGGGTGCATCCACACATTATTAAAGGTCAAAGGGCTTTAAAGCAGTGCAATCATTTTGAAATTTTTATCACTTACTTATTATGCTTCATTAAGTACTTATACAAAATTTTATTAAAATAAAACCATTTAAACTGGGTGTTCGGATTTATATGTCACTTAGTATATATTGGCCAGATCTTCCGCCTTAGCTTCTGAGCTGGACACAGTCGTTCCATTCTGGTACGTAAACGGTGGAAGGTTACTCCTTTCCAACGTGCTGGCATTGCGAACCGCTTCGTTGTTATTTGTTCCTGGACTCGACATCGGCTTGTCTCTACAGTCGAGATTTGTAAGAAAGTTCTGTGTGCCTTGATCTTCTGCTAATAAGCACAGCCGCACGATTGTATCGAAGTGCCTTGATGTGAGCCTATAAAGCAATCTTTTGCAGTTTTTTGACTAATGACAAAGCTGAGCCTATTATCTGTTTAAACTTCATTGAGTTCGCGTCAAAACAAATATGGGCAGCTGTCACCTTGTCTACCCGGGCATTTATGGTCACTAGGAGCGCGCGATTTTGAACCTTGTGCGCTGGTGTAAATTTCGACGGGTCGTGAATGAGATTTGAATGCACTTTAGGTGGTTTATAGTTTACAATATACCAAATGTTTTACATTAAAGAATGTAGAGTCATACAATTACACTCAAAGCATGGAAGCTCGAGAATTCTCATAAATACCATTTTCCTAAGAAAACCGTTTTGCACATACTTTTGAAATTATTGTAGGAACAAATTATCTACAATCATTAACAGATAGACCTCTAGTATTCTAGAAAGTATCTATTATTCCTATTTTTGTGATTCAAAGTATCTTACAATAAGTAGGACGATCATCGACCTATAAGAAAAGCAACTGTAACCATGTACTATGTAATATTTGTGACCAACATTCTAACAAATCGTTAATAGTAGGATGGATTGGCGAATGTGGCAGTGCTTCATGCGTGTTTAATTTTACTGATTCCCTCGTGTTAAGTATAATGATGAGGTGTTACAAAAACTCAACTTTGCAATTACATGCAAAAGCCATCGGGCGGAGAGGAAGAAAATCGGTGTAAACGAGATCGTATCTTGCCTCCGCTCCGACACTAAAACGTGAACAAAACATAAGCATAATATTACCGACACGTATCAGTGTGTATCTTATTTTGCAAATTGAAAGGCAATCTTTCGCAATTACCGTAGACAACCATTGGCAAACCACCTCAAAGCGCCAACAAATAAGAACCCATAAAACAAGCAAAGGCAAATAACACATTACGGCGCCGGGTAAAAACAGCTCATAATAAAATTTAATACGCTAGCTGAAGCTGGAGCAAAAAGCAATAGTTGTCTTCGTTAGGCGTGTAATCTGTGTAAACACTTGCGGATTGGAAAATTGGTATTCTAAGAAAGTAAGCACATTGACGTTCGTGGGATCACATAAGACTACTATCACATAATTCCAACTATTAAGAATGGAAGACGCACATTTAGAATAAGCTTATGGTCCCAAGTTGCTCACCATCTTGCATCACAACGTCAACGGTTGAAGTTAATATTGTGACGAGAATGAGTGAAGCACTAAAATATCAAAATCTTCTAAGGCACTGTTCTTACCAAGTTGCATTGCATTCCCACTGAAGCAACTGTCAAGCAGTTGCCGTCTTGAAGTTATAAATATAAGCAGTGTCTACATACTATAAAGCAGGCGGAATGAATATAAGCTATGTTGGTATTTGGAAGTCACAATTAAAAGAAAACTTGTACCTATAAGAAACATATTTAGCAAAGTATCAAAGCTGAAGTATCTTTTGATACTTTTTACCAGCACAAATATGTTTCATCGACTGGTGAGTAACTGCAAATCGACCAGCGACGGCAGTGTCGGCAGCTGTTGAACAACTGCTATACTCTAACTCTATAATACAATAAATACAATGTTTTTTTTTGTTTTTGTTTTTTGGCAAATAAATGTATCTTGAATTTGAATTTGAACTGGCCACTTTGCCGTATGTTTGATGTGAACGCCTTTATTTGAATACATGTGCCACGCGGAGTTGCGGTTGCAAGTTGTTCTGGGTAAGAACGGTCCCTAGCAGCTATCAAAATATCATGCCAGTTTGCTAACTACTTATATGATATACAGACGATACCTTACATTGGAAATCGGTGACTTCCATTCATGGCGTCGTGAAAACTCAAATAACCACGAAGCAAATGATGGAATTACAGCGACAAATATAGCTTTTGTGACGCAGAATATACCTCAAACATCTCAAATATGTACCACAGAAGCAATTTGAGAGTTTGGTTTTATTAATCATCGCTTACCATTAGTATCTCCTGAATAATTCACTGTAATAAATTTATTCGGCATAGCTTATATTGTATGTCTGTATCGAATAACCGTTATTTTGAAACAATTAACACTATGACTAACTACTAGGTAATGTGAACATCACTCATAAAGCCAAATTACTGTAGCAAGTGGGAAGCCTCAAGTAAAAATTATCTACTAATAATGTGGTAAGCATTACAATTAAAAACTATACTATACATATGTTTCGTATTATACTTTTTATGCAAACTGAACTAAATGAAAACTTATATTTGGTTCCTATCGCGCTCAATGTACGTCTATGAGGAAAAGCTATAAGTGTCTGTCTTCAAGCAAGTAGATAGCGAAATCGCCTCTAAAATCGCCCCAGGATTGACCGATTATAAAGGTATGAGGTTATAATAGAATTATGTCCCGTCACTACAGGAAAAAAGACAATCTAGTTAGAAAGTTAGCATATCGTATTACAGCAATTTCAATTATTGGATTATGCACTCCCACGCTTTTCTATTACCCTTGCATTGTTACACTGTTCTGGTATCTACGAAACTAAGAGATGCAAAATATGCAGAAGGATAGTTATCACTAACCTATTGACGGTATCTAGGCACAATAAGATACTTCTTATACGATATAAAAGGGACTGTGATTCATCACATTTATAGACAGACAAGGTATTTTTTCAACAAAGAAACAAATTTCCTTAAAAGCTACAGGTAGATACATCGGATTATGTTATGTCCATGTCTTGGCTGTCTTGACCGGTAAAAAACACCACAGATGTTAAAAGAATTACTTTAGTGTTGCAAGTCTCCAGGACTTTGTTGATACAACTTTTGAGGTTTCACAATTCAGAAAAGCTCACGTGGGTGTGTATCTATATGCTCGAGTAGATGTCGTCAAGTGAGATCAAATAAATGACTGTACTTGGTGTATAGCGGCCGTATAAATGTTTAGTCTCTGCAGGAAGTGTTATCACGAAACTTACGTCATTGTTTATGATTCGGCTTATCTGCGGTAAATAAACCATAAAAGCGCATAACAGATGTGCGACAATGTCAAGATTATCCGAGAACGAGAGATGATTTGAAAAATGGTTATAATAGTAAATAGTTCCTTATCTATGTGTAAATGGAACATATTTACTGATAAAAAGATCAATCAGCTTTAAATATAATTACGGGAAATGTTTCAGTATAATTGAAAGTATGTAGCGTTTTAATTGTACATGTTTTTCTCTATTTCGTTCTTCACAACACATAAAAATTATTTCACCGAGGTTCAAATGTGAAATATTCATAACTTTCTAGACATCTTTGCTCTCTACGCCACACATATGATGTCACATTTCAATCTCCCCTCCCAAATATTTCGGAAATTTCGCATCCTAGGAAAAAGTTCCAAGCAAAAGCTGAAAGGTTTTGAAGGTCAAATTGATTATGACCTAGACCATGATCCTCACTATGATCCTTAGTCATTCCAAGGTCAATCAGAACCCCCCTTTTACACTGGTGGTGAAGAGGGGGGAAGAGGGAATTCTACGTCTGAATATGACCTTGACCATGACCTTGCGAGCATTTATCGGAAACATGATATGGGGTAAAATGGGACGAAGTCTCAATACTACATGAAGAGGACAACAATTACAAAAGGAAGGTAAAGGAGTCAGCCTATAAAAAACTTAACAACAGACTGTGACCCAATTTGGTTGAATATCCTTGAAAGAAAGATCTAATTCTCCAACATAACTAATGGTCCATGAGTTTTTTATCCAGATTTTTCCTCGTTGTTTGTTGTTGGGTCTCGAACGCGCAGATTTCTCGCGTTTCAGATGCAAAACATCGCATTTGCAACATTTAAGTCTAAGATTGCATAACGATTAAACGGATTGTTGCGAAAACAGTTCTGGGTGGTTTTCGCGTTTTTTCCATACGAATGTCGTTACGATACTAGATTTTTAGGGCGTACCAGGTAGTGTACAAAGGCCTTAAGAATACTAACTGACTCTTGAGGCAACTTTGTAGTATCTAATCAACAACCTAGCTTCGTCGTAAATGAAACGGCGTACCTTTGAATGACTTAAACTACAGTTGCCCCAAATTGAATTTTATTATACCTGCGTTTTGAAACAGTGTATACAAATCGATTAAAGAAACTGCAGCAATTCTAGACCGATATTTAACTACCACCGGCAGAAACGTTTGGCCGTAAAGTGGAAACAACCTATAAAATTACATGGTAAATTGGCAATAACAACCTACTGCTATAAATAGGTCTTTGTAACTTTATTGCAGCGTATCTGATGATCTTCATTCAAAACGGTAACAACAAAGATACATTATCCGCAGCCTGATAACCTTTGCCTTATAAGCAAATGGCCACTCTCATCAATATAATTACTAAATTGTCATTTTTAAGATAATGCGATATGTTCTGCTACAAATTAAGATATTATAATATAATCGATCTCATTTTGCTGGTCAATTTAATCTTTTCATAATTATATTCATTATATACAACAACTGTATTATACATGTTTGGAGTAGACGATTAGCGATAAGGTTGTGAATAAATATTTCGGTCGTTTTAGTGGCACATGGAAAAATGTTTCTACTGCCTTGATATTTGGTGATTTATCTCATGTTCATACTATTTAGCTCAATAGCTCGCATTTTCTAAAGTGATAAACATTTATTTTATATAGGTATTTCCCTTTTAACGTGATGTTAAAAAGAGTTGGAATTCTATGCATTCTAGCAGAAAACCAATCCCCCTTATTTTACGCATTTTTTATAGTTACAGATCAAAATGGATTAATGCAGAGAGATTATTATGAATTGGTAGTCACAACGCATATAGTGTATGTCCTGAGTAAGACCAATCTAATACAGCACAGCAGTTACAACCTTCGTAAAAATGCAACTGCTTTGCTTTATGTTTGAGTTCAGTATCTCAAAAACACCAGATAGAATTCTGTAATGTTTGTTCGAACATTCCAATGATAACAATTATCCTTTTTTCCCAAAGGAACGTATCCCATCTTTTCTCTTCCTTCTCTTCCATCCTGTTCTTACGATTGTTTAATTCATCGGTTACTATACATACAGACTCAATAGTTGATATTATAGTAAGAGTTTATGCCCCTTCGGTTTCCTTTGATATATGATAGAAAACGAAGTGCATGCAATACTGAAACTCATCGATGTGGGACAAAAAGCGTGGTTGGGGGAAGCCTTAAAACAAACAAAAATTCAACCGGATACAATACAGAAGAAGAATTAGCCAAAGTCTTACCGCTAATGCATTCAGCTCTGGCACGATTAATTAATTTATTCGAGCATTTTGTAATTCAGAGGCAGACGTCGACAGCCACGACAACGACGGATCCACTTGAGCCTCTGCCACCGTCCTTTCCTGCCAACTAGATTTCATTAAACAATTTAGCGTTTAATCCTCGGTTAATTGGACGGGCAATTACGATGACTAACCAAAAAGAAAAACGCTCTGTGCACGCTCTTCATAAACCAGCGCGCAGCCATGACCAGCAACGAGCGCATCTCATATCTGAAAGCATGCCGATTGCTTCCGTAGTTCAGTGCAATTAGGAGGAACTGTTTTAGGAAACCATTAAGTAAATCTACCCAGTCTACCAAAAAGAGTTTTTCAGTGTGTTTATCGTAAAACGGTAGTTAACTTTAACCAGAAAACCATCTATGAGTTAACTAGAAAGGCTGTGGTGGTTAAATAGCAATACTTGACGTTTGTGGAATCAGACTTTGCCATTTATTCAAAAAATTACAAATTCATTCAAGTTATTGATTGGGTATAACATAGACGAAGAGGCAAGAAGGCCAAAAATAATCCGCCATCGCCCGAATCACTTTGATGAAATTTGACGATCTGGGTTTCCTTTCAACGCGTCGTCTTACAAAAAGGATTGTAGAAACTTTTATCTCTTCAGGAAACTGAGCCACTTGTTTTGGTTTCTACTTTGCTTTAGTTTTTACTGGCCAGTGATACTAACATCATTTCCTGATTCTGAGCTTTTTTATACTGTCTTCTGCTAGAAAGTTGTTTGAGAAAAGTAGGATACATTATCGATTTTTACGCGACTTACTAAAACGACTGTACTATTCTGCCCTATGCAACTAGCGCATCTCATATTGAGTTAATGGTGGGAAGAGTCAATGCACCGGAATTTTGATTCAGGGTTCTCTAACGAGGTGGTTTGTGCTTTCGTTATTCTGCCTCTTGCGGTATTTCAAATTGCGGTGAATATTCTGGGCAATAGGCTTCTTTTTATCCTTTTCGTACTTCCAAAAATTGAATGTCTCTATAGAATACATATTTTGAGTGTTTCGTCCACCTATACTTTTTATAATCTGCAGGACACAAGGTGTTTATAATTTAAATGCGATCAAAGATCAAGACCTATAAAGCAACTTTCTTATCAAAGGGTGTATAGTGATTTTCAACCTCTCTTACGGAAAAGCACAGATTAGAGATTATTAGTACACCACTCATGATAAATACACTTGTATACTTTTAAGGACTAGCATGGGACCATGTATACTTTTAAGGACTAGCATGTGGCAGCGCCATCTGAAAAAAGCCCTCCCAGCCACCCCACCATAAGCGACAATTTCTTTGCAGCTAACGACACTACTCAAACCATCCTCGTGCTCTTTATTATCTGTATGATACATCTTTTTTTCATAATTGCTTCCATTTACTTTTGAACTTTGAACATAACTGTTTGCCATTATTCTAGGATCTTTAAAAGAAGGAAAATGTTTTATTAGCCTTTTAAGAATTTTGTGAAACTGAAAAGCCGCAAAAAACTTCGGCTCAAAATTCAGAAAGATATTGTTATCTACTGAAATAACACGTTTTCTATTAAAATTCAATTCCCATCTATTGAACTACATATATTTGTAATCGCTTTTCTGTTAAAGGTATATGCCATTTATTCAATGTTATCATTTCAACACAATTTGAACTGAAGGCGTCCAATGCTCTCTTCCAGTATCAGTCGTTAACAATATAACTTCCAGCCACAGGCGTCCGTGACGGCCACTTTCCGGGCCCCTTCTGTCTCTTCTGCTGTTAGATATTGACGGCTCACATAGACTCTTTTTATCCCATAGCCACACAGCGATGCACAATCAAAAAAATACCTTTTATGTTGTAAGACTAAAATTTCTCCCCCGTTGTAGGCAATTCTTCTATGCACGAAACAACACAATAACAACCACGTCCTCCTAATTTCTTACACAAGTCTTGCATGTTTCACCGCTTTTACACGTACTAAGCAGCTGCAAAATCGGGACATCTATGCTTTCGAAAGCAAAAGTCGAACAATCTATTATCTTGGTATGTTTGGACATTAACGTTCAACATTTAACAACAATGCTCTTGACATTTTAAACAATAATACTATCACTATGCATTTTTCATACAGCCATAGAATGGTTCGGTCTCTTCAGATGACTGTCAAAACAAGGTTCAAGATCATTCATATATGTATGTCGAAAAAATAGGTGTTTTGAAATT